AATGGAACAGGTAATTAACATTTTCACCTGTTTTAAACTCTTATGGGATTGCGTAATTACTCAGTGTTCTCACTGTCCCACAGTTCTACTTTAGATATATCCAACTTTGAGCTTACATACAACAGTTGAAATGGAGTTTTCTTGCTCTTAGAAGAGTAACACATTGTGATACTGAACAGTTATTACAGGTTTAAGAGTTAACATCACTTAGCAAACCATTGGAAACCATCAGGGAGTACTGCTAGACAGCTGTTTTGTCCTAGTCTTCATCAGTTGTCTACAAGTGTGAATTATTTAGTTGATCCTTCGGGTATGTGAAAGAGAAAGAGGGTTAGAGTTGCGTGACTGCAGAGCTCAGAGGACAACTGCTTGATTCCAGCCAGTCACAAACGGCCTGTATGTACTGGTTTCTTGGTTTGGTTCCGTGCTATTAAATTTACCGCCGGTTACGAATCACGGTAGGTGGCATATGTCGGGATGTACAATGTTTGGGGTCGACCTATTCCAACCCCATCCCTACAGAGTTGAGAGACATCAAAGATGGCTGGCATACTGGTTATCTGATGGAAACACCTTACTGCGGCTGTGAAATCCCTATTCCCCAGCAGTAAGACTTCGCTCAAAGACCCCCAGCATAATGTAAAAAAGAAAAATTCTCACACTATATCGGTAACTGCTTTTAGTCTAATCGTTATCCTAACAACCTTCCTGGTATGGTAGAAGTTTCAGGAACAATAGTTCAAGACAGTGTGGCTTGTTGTGCGTTGGTGGCACGGCGATCGGATGCTCGCCGACCACGCAGGTGGTCCGGGATTCGGTCCCCAGTCGACACATTCCTTTACCTCGATAAGCCAGCAATAAGGCGGGTAAAGAGGGAAGGTTGGGCATGAGGCTAGCAACTTCATCCTGTAAAAGTGTAGCTTGTTGGGTCATAGCGATATGCAAGGGCGGCGACCACCACGTCAGAGTAGCAGCTATCGATCCGGAATTATTTAGTAAGTAACAGCCCTACTGAATAATGCATGCTTTTACGATTAAAACAGTGTGAAATGGAGGTGCATGCGAGTTCTGTGGCCATGTGATTTAAGACCACTACCAGAAAGTAAAACCTTTGAAAGCCAAAATCAGGAAAGCAACACAAGAATTGATTACTCTAAATTCATGGTGCAGAACTTCAACAGCCGACAACAAGATTTGGTGTAGGCGTGACCAAAAGCATCTTAAAGAGGCTTCTGCAGGAACTCTGGAAGGTGGTGAATCATTCAAGAACCTACTCTTGAACAAACATGCAGAAGGTTACACAGATGGAATAGATATACTCAATGAGAAGAAATTCAAGTAACATGACACATTCACACAGACGCACCAAGAAGGCCCTCTAATTGACACTGAATAAGAAGCGACGGCCTGAGAGTGAATGTGAGGGTAGAATTAGGAGAATAAAAACCTGTGAATACTTGTGGAACCAATTATAAGTGATAGCAGGGGACAGACAAGGAATGAAGATGCGTGACACTGAAGTCCCTATGCTTCACGAACAACGCAAGGAATGAATGAATAGTAACAATAATAACAATAATAATACTGATAAATACGTCCAGTTGTGAAAAGAACAATCGACTAAAACATTCCTTGAATTCACTGCTGAGTAAAGCAGATCCATATATCAGCAGAAAGGATTTCTTCCAACACATCCAGCCGGATAACCTGTGGTGCAACTTTAGAATAATTAAACCAAATGTCTGAGTTACGTATAAAGTCCCAAATTCAGGATATGTTTGAAATACTGTACTCTATATTACACATAAATGAGTTTCCTGGAGTTCTGGTGAGAAGTCGTGACCAGTGAGGTCCATCCAGTGAAGTGTGAGGATGGATATCCCACTGATGACATGGATTTGTGGTCGCCCTAAATCACGAATTGATAGAAGTTGGGATTCATGGGATGGCCATTGAATCGGTTCCCAGTGGCTGAATGGTATACGAACTAGCTTGCCTTGCAACTGGAAGGTTCTGGGTTCGAACCCTGGGTGGTGGTCGGTGTGTACTGCCGATGAATTCCAGGTACCAGGATGAAGCAGCTGGCTGTTTAGTACTCCATGGTTCGTTTTCAATGGTTCTCTAACTGATATCAATCGGTGATCAACTCGTAAAAATAAATATAACAAACAGAATATACAGACCTCAAATTGTGATGTGTCTAGGCCGTTTGCTGTCTAACAGACTGTCACTGTACATCAGTTAAAACAGAGGAGCAAACATGTTAAAAAGGTCATTCGAGTTGGGATAAAAACAACGCGGGAATGTATAGGTCAAGACAAAAAGAGATACAAATAAGTGACTTTCAACAGAGAGTGGAGTAATAAAATGGTAAATAAAATATAATTCATTCTACTTAATAATAATAAGTAGTATAAAGTTAAACACAAATGGACGGCATTAGGAATAAATAAGATTGGGTACTTTGAATGGACCCAAGGTCGTAATAAATGTCATGCATCTACTGCTTCGTGTGGTGCAGACAGAATTCTATCAGTTAAGTCTCCACAATGTGTCCACTATGCTAAGTAGCTCTACATCCTGGTGCCCTGTGAATTGTTGTTATTAGATGGTTGAGAGGGAAATGGCAGAAAGCCATACTTCACTGGGGTTTCAGGCTTGTTGATACTCGTCAGCGAGGTATGTATCAGCAGTCTTGAATGAACTCATGTCCATTCTGAAGTTTGAATTTGGGTCATCCAGTGGTGCAGTCAGAGACGTCAGAATTGAGCTGTTTGTGCTCACGATTGACATACTGTAGGTAGGACTGTGACGGATACTTTCATTGAACACTACGTTGCAGCTGGTGTCATATGTGTAGTCCTTGGTGTTTGTGCAGGTTGGATTCCATCGGTCAAGTTTGAATCTCAGGAGGGAAATGAGTCCCCTCAAGATTGAAAGCACGTCTTGCTGATGAGTGCTAACAAGTACGAAGCTACCTAGGTAAAATTAGGGCTTCCTGGAGATTGTCTTCAAATGTATAATAACAGATAAGAAAGGAATTAGCAAGCAGAGATTGAAATTCTTTTAACCGTTCGATGTGGAGCTTTGATCAACACTTGGTGGCGGTGTCTGTTTAAGGGTCTTCATAGATTCATTTCCGGAATAGTCCAGATAGCTTAAACGTTCACCTGTTACCATTTAATCAGAATTTAGACCAATTTAATTCCATATATCGAGTCAGACTGTTGGGGGCGATGAGTCAGGAATACGTTGAATGACCGACAAGAAGACTCTAGAAGATCTAGATTTCGCGCGTGGATGATATTTATATCTAATGTCACACAAACTCGAAGACTTGCAAGCAGGCGAAAACCAACAAACTGGCTGGAGACGCAGCGAAATCAGGACTCCACGTGAACATAGAGAAGACGGAAGTGATGAAGATAATCAATCCACAGCAACAATAACCAGCACTAATCACCATCAACGGAAGAGATTTAACAGAGGTCTCTTCCTTCCCTTATGCAGCCAGGAAGCATCGTTTCAACTACAGGCGGAACGGACCAGGATATCAAAACCAGCCAGAATCGGAAAGGCAAGATACACATTCATCAACCTGAAAACAAATTAGAAATCTTCTGCACTCAGAATTAGGAACAAGATTGGCATTGTCAACACCAATGTCAAGTTGGTCCTCTTATATAGTTTATTCAGATTTAAGGGATTTCAAGTCAGAATTTCATCACGAATGATAACATCATCTAGAGAAACATTAAAAACCAGACAGCATTATGCAGGCATGCCATTACTTGATGATTCATGAATTACTTCATTACTCCGATCGATTGGCTAGACAGCAACATCCTCATTTGGAAGATTGTTTTCTTGACCCATGAAGAGGGAGGGGTCATGAGTACATGCTGCCGAATGGATCCAAACTATCCGATTTTCAGAGGTTTTCTAATTAAATTGATGGTATATACTACTGGCGGATATGAGTGGTTGAGCAGCACTCACACAAATCAGTCACATATAAGTGATATTTTAAATGCTTGGAGGCAATCGTCAGGAAGCCTTGCATGACCTAGGTTTCGTGCTAGTTGGCACTCGTCAGTAAGGCGTATCTGCAATCTACAAGGAACTCATGTCCCTTTTGAGATTCAATCGTCTGTAAGTGCAGCACTGGGTGACGCGGGTTCGAATCTCAAAAGGAAGGACATGAGTTGTTCCTTCAAGGTTGCAGATACGCCTAGCACGAAACCTAGGTCATGCAAGGCTTCCTGTGGCCGATTGACTCCAACCATCTAATATCAACAATTGAAAGTGCACTGAGATGACAAGCCACCCTAGCATAGCGGCCACATTGCAAAAAACCTGACTGATAGAATTCAGTCTGCACCGAAGATAGGACTAGATACATCGCACTGATTACTAACTAGTGTCCAATCAAAGGTGTAAGTGACCTTAAGAACTCTGAATAGCCATTATTCTCATGGAGATCAAATCGATACGATGCGTCGGTGGCATAGCGGTTAGGATGCTCGCCGACCATGCACATGGACCGGGGTTACACTTCCGGCCGACGCACTCCTTTAACTTGCTAAGCCAGAAATAAAGCTGGTAAAGAGGGAAGGTTTGGCATGAGGCTAGCAACCCCATCCTATAAAAATAAACACTGCTAAAGAAACTTCAAGCCTCTAGCTTGAAGCCCTATGTTCCACTGGGAACGTTAAGGAATAAAGAAAAAACAGAAGTGCTTGACGTCAACGGTTTTCAACCACTGATATCACTCAATCAACAACCACTTATTCAGTGACCGTCATTTACGCCATCAAACAAGTAACATATTAGGATCTAAATATTTAGGGTCGAGATTTTCCACTTCAAACTGACTGTATCTAAAAATTGCAAATTTTATTCTCCAAATAACCTTGATGAGTGCTTGTGACTCAAAAGTCACCATACTCAAATATTTATTTCTTCAACTTCCTATCGATTTTTCCTTTTCTTTCTTTAAGAAATCCAACTGGAAGATGAATTACACATGGCTGAATTTACAAATACAACTTCAGATATCCTACATTCAGTACACACGCTTCCAAACACCACCCATACAAACCAAACGACAATAGCACCAACAATCACAACACCATCACGTTCACAAACAGGCACATTGAATTCAATCAAAGATCCTGAATCTCACCCATTCAAAAGTCATGCCTCTATCAGTTCACGTTCTGAATCAACAACAACTAGCAGTTCATGTGGTGAATCACGTTCACAGCAGACAACAATACAACGTATTCGTAAGCCTAGTAAATCACGTCCTGCATGGTGGATAATGTGTGGATCAAACAGCCAACAAACACAAACACAAAAACACCAACCGGTGAATCCATCAATTGAAAATTCCATACACACAGAGGTCACTGGTAAAACTCAAGATCTTGGCAAGCATAAACCAATTTTAGTTTACCGACGTAAATCAGGATATTTTGCTTTATCAGATCGTTTGTTAACTGGAATTAAATCTGCCCAACAACAACAAAGTTCAGAATAATAATCACCATCATAATTTGTTGTCAACCTGGAAACCCTAAGCATTTGAATGAGAATTAAAAGATCTTAATATTAAAATGATAACCATCTAGCCTTACTCCAAATATTTTGCCTACATATTTAAGCTACTTACAAAATAATTCAGTAATGTAAAAGCTATCCAAAAAATATTTTTAAAACTGTACGAAGCAAATCAGTCATTTGTGAATGGGGTATTCTCTAGTAAATATGCATTTATTTGAAATCAGATATTTTTCTCCTTTTTTTCTCAGTTTTTCCCTCTTTTCCGATTGTTTCTTGATCTCTTTTCTACTGAAAAATGAATCAGCCTATTGTAATCAAAATGAAACTGCTCTTTTATTTTGCATGATAAGACTGTAATAATCTTACTCTATTCATATACATAATATGGTATGATTTAATTAGCTATTTCCCTTAACTATTTGATTTTCTGTTTCTTTGCTATTCCTCTCTCCGTTTTTTTAATTTGAAATTTGAATTTTGAAGTAAATAAATAACTTTCAAGTATTGGTATTTTTTGTAGGGATTTTGTTTGATTGGTTGGAGGATTTCATTGTGAGCTGAAATCAGTTAGAGAACCATTAGAAAACCAGTCAGGGAGTACTGGACAGCTGTTTTGTTAGCCTAGTTTTGGACTCTCCGTCAGTACGCACCCACCGGGAGGATTTCGAACCCAGGAACTTCTGGTTACAATGCCAGTGAGCTTGTAGACCATTAAGCCACTGGAACTCTATCCAATGGCCAACCCGTGAATTCTAACTTCTACCGATTTATGATTTGAATTAGCATCATGAAGCAGGAATATTGAGGAGATCCTAACTAGCTGTCCATCTATTCAGTCCTGACTTTCAATAGTTCTTCAGTGAGTGTCAGTTTATGGTGATATCTACTATTCACCCCCTTTCTTAAAGTAACACATGAGAATTATAGAGTAATTGGATAAAAGACAATTCATGTTTAAGGCGCATTTTCCGTGATTGTTTATTTAGTTCAGTCTAACAGAGGTTACCTCCTTGACTTATCTAGGAAGCGTCGTTCCAACTACAGGCGGAATAGATGAAGATATCGAAGTTGGCCAGTCAGAATCGGAAAGGCAAGATACGAACGCCTTCATCAATTTGAAACCAGTTTGGAAATCTTTCGCACTGCACTCAGCATAAGAAATAAGATTTGCATTTTCAACACCAGTATAAAGTTGGATCTTGTCTACGGGTTGGAAACTTGACCATAGTGTCAAGAAAAGGATTTCCAACAGACTAATGCAAACTTTCATCAACGGCGACCACCTTCACTGAGTGGCTCCTTACTGAAGGTCAAATGGTCAGCCGGCCAGCCAGAAAGAATGAGCAACAAGAATTTCTGGCTGGCTGGGAAAAAACCAACCAAGGGTCGATCGCTCAACAAATACGTAGGAGGAAATGGAAGTGAATCGGGCAAACATTGAGAAGACCGTCGAATGACATCGTGATCAATGCAGACCAGTGCTTGAGTGGAGTCCCACTGGGAAGCGACGAGTGTGTCATTGGTTTGAGGGTGACGTGGAGGAGATTGTGTGAGGAACAGATGACAGAGTTTGGTCAATCTTGGATCCAGATTAAGAGGATGGCAGAAAACAGAACAAATTGGAGATGTATTGTTGAAGCCCTATGCTCTACTTGGAACCCAAGGGAACAATAATAACAATCAGTCCAACTTAACTTCCGTCCGTGCTTCTGCTTATCCAGACGGTATATCAGCAATCTTAATACAAAATGTCAACGAAGGCTGAGAGTTTCTATCAAATACAAACATCAAAAAACTCAAATCATCTGTAACAGATAACTCTTTATACTTGTTGTTACAAGATGTGGTTCCCGTGGCTTGGTGAGTAACGCCTTCGAATTTCTAAACGTTGGGTGCTGGATATGAGTTTCGGTAGTAAAACACAGTCACTCATTTGGGGTAAAATGCAACTGTTTCCAACTAACAAAAGGTAATACTGGACGCCATTGTTAGCCAGTATTGATCAAATTAAATAGAGGAACTTTATCATAAATCTGTTCACTTCTCAAGTGACTTCCTTTACGACTTTGAGTTATATACACGAATAATTTGGAGGATGAAAACAAATGTAGCTGTTTAGTTCTGAGTTCTGTTTATCAATGTTTCACCGTCAGTGTGCGTGTATGTGTGTTTGAGTAGTGCAGGACACCTCTGATAGTAGACAAAGATGAGATCTTCTTAGGTGATCGTTTTATTTTAAACAACGAAGACATATGATTAAGTCGCAGTCGACTGAGGCAATCATTGAGATTATGAGTTTTCGGTGGGGGACAGGTTTGATTTCAAAGCAGCCCACTGATGACTTCTGATTGAATATCCTGAAACTGTAATGAGAATTAGTAGACAGTGTGGATTAAATCATGTCAATGTGAAGCGGGTAGATAGATAGATAGATAGATAGATAGATAGATAGATAGATAGATAGATAGATAGATAGATAGATAGATAGATAGATGGATAGATAGATAGATAGATAGATAGATAGATAGATAGATAGATAGATAGATAGATAGATAGATAGATAGATAGATAGATAGACAGAGATCATTGATTTTTACATTCGAACTCACAGTTCATTGAAGTCCCTACGAACACAAACCCATACCGCCATCACCAAGTAGTTGAGTGTTGTCAACAAAAGTGCTGAGTTCAATCTATGGTAGGATTGTGGATGAGTACCGGTGAGGAGTCCAGGAGCAGTTTGAAACAGCTAGAAAATACTCCCTTGTTATCAATGATCCTCAAGCTGATTTACGTTAGAGACAGTATCCACACTTCAATCAGTCATTTAAAAAGAAATCTCATTAAGCGGTATATTTTGAAGGGAAAGCAATAGTTGAATTAATTTATGTACACAATGAGTTAATTTTTCGTTTATGCATGTGCAGTTGCTGGTTTTCTTCTTACAGTGTCTTCGATACTAGACAGCATTAATTATTAGTGTTAATTAAATACCATACTATCATCCAACTTCAACCCATCCATCTATCCACTACCACCCCTTCGTGTTTTTATTAATCTTATAATTAATTAGAGCAGAAATGTAATCATACACATGATTATGGTAATAAAGATGGTGATCTTTGAAAGCCCTGCAGAGATTAACTCATATTTATTGATTATTTATTTAACAAGTGGTGGTCATTATACATTTGGATTCTTTTTCCGGAGACATTAAGAAATTGATAGTTAGTTAGTTAATTGGTTGGTTAGTTGAGCAGTCAGTTAGTTAGTTAGTTACTTACTTACTTACTTACTTACCTGGCTACTTAGTTGGTTATTTAGTTGGTTAGATAGTACGACTGTCAGTTACTTACTTAGTTATTCGATTAGAGAGTTAGTCGGCTAGTTACATAGTTAAGTAGCTGGCTAGTTAGTTAGTTACTGAATTATTTAGTTAGTTAGTTGGTCCTTTTGTTAGTTTTTGACATACTTAGTTACTAAGGTAGTTATTTGTTTCGTCAGACTTCGTTTTGATCGTTTTCTTTCTTAATCCGATGCTTTCCAAATGAAAAAGAGGTCAGTAAGCTTTGATCCCTTAACCGAATCTAAATCATTAGTAGTAATTTCACATAAGGAAGAGTGTCGGTGGTATAGCGGTTGGGACGCTTGCCGACCATGCACATGGTCCGGGGTTTGACCCACGGCCGACTCACTCCTTTAACTCGCTAAGCCAGAAGTAATGCTGGTGAAGAGGAACGGTTGGGCATGAGGCTAGCAACCCCATCCTGTAAAATAATCACTGCTACAGAAACTTTAAGCCACTAGCTTGAAGCCCTATGTCCCATATAAAGAAGGAACATCGGAAACCCTACGGTGGAGAATTCTTAACAATGGAGGAACAAAAGTGGCTGGCATTCAAACCATCCGCAAACTCAATTAGACACAAGCTCTGTTGGTTAAAGGATCACTCCTAAGGAGCCAATAAAACAAAACGATCTAGTTTATCTAATACCCTGTTGGAATGATTGTCAGGTCAAATACATAGGTCAAACTTGTACAACAGATGCTGTCAGACTAGCCAAGCATAAAAACCTAGCAGCAAAATCTAGATTAGTTGATCCGAATAAGATAAGAAATCCAGAGGATAGTTCAGCTATAGCATTCACTACATGCAACTGCACACAACCATACAATGGGATGGTTGGGATAAGATGATAGTTTTAAAATCTAATGTAACAGCAGGGTGGAGGGAGAGATTGATAACAGAAGCTTTGTTTATCGAATCAATCAACTGCCAATACGTGTAATAGAAATGATTCAACACCTGTCCAGTTGGTCATCTGGAAAATTCTAATACCCCTTTGAAGACAAATAGGAAAGAATAAAGAAAACTATAAAACTCAAGTTTCGAAGTCGTGTGATTATAATTGATGAAATGATTGTGAACAATAAATCTTGTTCAAAACCTTGTCATCCAGTAAATAATACTGTTTCTTCACTGTGTGGTACATCTAATAAACAAATTAATATGGAGTTACTTACTACCACAGTGCTCAAGTTTTGCATATATATTAAAATAGACCTTCAGGAAATCCAATGGCTAGTCGTTCAACAATCGGTAACAAACAGGTCAATCTTCAAATGGTGGGATAGAAAAGGATTGTTCCAAGAATTATTCAATTTAGAATTAGATCCTCATCCCTAGCTCTACTCTAACAATATCTATTTGTAATACAATACAGAATGAAATTGACCAATCTAATGTGGTAGGGATAATTCTGTTGACAGTAATTAGTCAGTATCAACACAGGTCAACGTGTGGAGAGGATAATTAACTAAGAAAATTAATGGAAATTAGCAAAGAGTGGGAATGATTACAACAAGGAAATTACAGTAATGCATAATTTTGGAAAAATAGAGCACCTAAATGAGAATTAAATAATTATTTGAGGCGTGTGCTACTGATAAGATTCATCAGTAGTACATATATAAAGAGATGTTCATCGGCATAAAAACATGGAATTGCTGGGAGACAGATTTGATGTTAGTGAGAGCAGATGACGGTACAGTGTTGTGGAGATACATGGGAGACGTGAAAGGAACACAAAGAAAGGCACACTATATGAAGGAATGTCAGAAGTAGAACCCTATGGCAGATGTGTGCAAATAGTGATTTGAAGATAAAGTGTACATAATTTGGCTATACAGAGATACCAAACCCCCAAATAAACATTCCTTCACTGAGTATCTTTTCTTGTACTGTTACAATTGGTGTCTCTCTCTGCCTCCAGATAATGAAGATCCCATGGTCGACTGCTTTTGACGAAGTGGATAAACGGGGCCTCTTGCGGGAACTTGAGGCCGTGTGCGTCACTGGTTCGACGGCGAAGGCAGCGTACGACACTGTGGAGCAGTCAGGTTAGAAAGATACCTGGAAGATATTGTTTAAACTATTGATGGCAGAGTTCAATGGACAGGCACCTGACCATTCAGCAGTTCTGTGGCCCACTAGTGTTGACTGTAAAGTTGACAAATCTAATGCATCGCACATTCTCCACATTGGATGAAGAGTCAGAGTCAGAGCTACTGAAGTCTCAGTTGACTAAGAGTGTCCCAGACCACATATCACAGCAACTAAATCTGGTTAACGCTGCATGACATCAGTGAGCTAGCGAAGGTGACGGGACAGTTGGCGAACACAGTGATAGCCGAAACAGAGCCACCGAAATTGAACGAATGGGAACAGAAAGTTGAAGATTTGCAGCGTGAAGTAGCAGCTCTACGAAGGAGTCCCAGGAATGTTTATTTTGGATTTAGTATCTCTGTATAGCCAAATTATGTATGTACACCTTATCTTCTTCAACGCGTGATTTGCACAGATCTTCCATAGGGTGTTACTTTTGCCCCTTCAAATCTATCTCCCAGCTATTCCGTGTTTTTGTGTCAATGAACATCTCTTTATATATATAGATGTACTACTGATAACTGCTATCAGTAGCACACGCCACAAAGGGGATATAATTGCTAAAAATAATTATTTAATTCTGATTTAGGCGTTTTATTTTTCCAAAATTGTGCATTACTGTAATTCACTTGTTGTAATCATTTCCACTCTCTGCTTGTTTGCATTAATTTTCTTGGTTAATTATCCCCTCCACATGTTGATCTGTGCTGATACTGACTAATTACCGTCAATAGAATTATCCCTACCATATTGGACTGGCCAATTTCATTCTGTATTTTGTATATATATATATATATATATATAGTTGGTTTTCAATGGTTCTCTAGCTGATATCAATCCGTGATCAGTTTGTTAAAAGCAAATGTAATCCTAATTTGTGAATCATCGGCAGTACGCACCCCTGGAATTCGAACAGAGGGCCATCCAGTTATAAGGCGAGCTCGTATACCACTCATCCACAGTGGCTCATGAATTCTAAGTTCAACCAATTTGTGATTTTGCGCGACCCCAACTCGTAAAAACATATCTAACGCTTACAAACCAAACTACAGAAATCCAATCCTTACAAACGACGCATTGTGTTCACAAGTCAACTTTTGGTTGTCGACGCCACATCAGGATGCCTTACGATTAACCAAAACACTGACATCAACAACACAACAACCCCAAAAAGAAACAAACACCCAGATGCCAGTAATAATAATAATAATAGTATTAATAATAACTTTTTATGTGCTCTAAAATGAATAACAATATAATGAAAAGCAATAATAATAGTAATAGTAGTATTAGTAATAATAATAATATTAATTAATAATTGCACAGCCATGTTAACCAATGTCACCATAGTGATAAAAAGTAAACAAAAGGACATCTTATCAATGAATTAGTCATAGATATCACGAAGGCCGGGAGGCCGAGGTGTGTGTATGTGGAAAAACCAACATGGTACAGCCAGAAGAGAAAAGGAACTCATAATAATAATAACAATAATAATAATAACTATGATAATAGTATAGACAGAGGCGAGAAAAGCGCTTAAATTATGAAAAACCATTCAGATAAAATAATAAATAAACAAATGAAATAAATATTGAAAAATGTCAATAATTTGCTTGTTTTCTTGAAAAGTAAACAACGCGAACAAACAAACAAACAAACACATGTTTACCTGTTTATTCTGCATGTCTTAATTTCAAGAATTACGCACCTCCCCCTCCTCCAACTAACTGTCTCTCCTATTACATTAATTGGTTGATAGATAGATAGATCGATAGGTAGACAGACAGACAGCTAGTTAGCTGTTTTTGAAAAAAAATCAATAAATAGCAAGACAAAAAAGGTAGAAAACAGACAGGTAATGAAATACACTGGTTTCATATGTTGAATTTCAGTAATATATGCACATATAAGTAGTATGTGATACGTGTGTGTGTTGATTACCCTTATCCTCTAATTTTTTTGGCTTTTTTCCTTTTGATGAACTGTGCTGGTTAAGGAGACGAAGGTCATGTGTAACGTGGGGGGGAATCGGACGGAGAAGATATACACAGATATGATATGGTATGATGTGATATGATACGGTGTAAATACACCTAACAACTAACAGCTGTTTATTTTGGATATGTTGAAATTTGAAGCTGATATGTTACGAAGCTGAGGGAGAGATAGACAGAAATTTGGGGAGGGGGATGGGGGTGGTTTGAAACTGTTTATATATATATATTGTATAACGCCTAATTAATATTTTCATATATATTTATCAATTTATCGATTGATATCAGATGATTTCGCGGTGATACTAATCTCTGGCATTAGACGTAATTCCGACATTGAATCGATTGACCTGTCGCGATTACCAGCTGGACTATGATGATGTTGACGATTATGAGAAGGTGGACGATGTTGGTGTTGTTGGTGTTGCTGTTGATGACCTCTTTGACTAGAGATTGAATCTGATCTTAAAAGTCGTCTTTCATTTGTACTCTCATAGACTGAAGTAGCATACTGTCCATCTGAAAACTGAAAATATAAAAAAGAAATGGGGAGACATTGATAAGAGTGAGATAACAGCACCTGAGTAATAGTCATATTAAACTAATCGTTACATTCTAGAGAGTTTAGTATTTTTTAATATATTTGTGCGTTGAAGTTTCTGTAAAAATTTGGTTAAGTTTTGGGGGTGGAGTTGCTAGCACCGTGCCCCAACCCTCCCTCTTTATCCGGGCTTAGGACCAGCTAGAAAACTAGCGAGGTAGAAACCTAGGCGAGACAGGACTGCAGGTGAACATAGACAAGATGGAGGTTATGAAAATAACCAACCAACCAGAAACAACAACAACAGCAGCAGCAATATCCAGCGCCAATCACCATCAACGGGAGAGATTTGAAAGAGGTTACTTCATTCACTTACTTATCTAGGGAGCATTGTATCAACTACAGGAGAAACGGACGAGGATGTCAAATTGAGAATCGGGAAGGCGAGAAACACATTCATCAACCTGAAACCAATCTGGAAATCTTCGTCACTCAACTCAGCCTGCGTCAACAACGAAATTCGGATTTTCAATACAAACGACGTCAAGTAAGATCTTCTATATGAATCAGAAACTTGGCCAGTGTGTCACAAAGAATATTTCCAACAGCCTGTTGCAGACCTTTATCAACAACTAACTGTCTTCGCTGGCTCTATACTGAAGATCAGATGGCCGGAAAGAATCACCAACAAGAAACTATGGGAACAAACAAAACAAGAAGCAATCGCTCAACAAATATGCAGGAGAAAGTGGAGATGGATTGGACACTCGCTGAGCTGAGGAGGCCGCTGGGTGACATTGCGCGTCAGGCCATAGCTCGAGTGAAACCTGTAAAGGGAATTGGCGAGTGGGACGTCCAAGGGTGACATGGAGGAGATCGTGTGAAGAGGAGTTGAAACAGTATAGACTAACATGGATGCAGGTGAAAAGTACAGCAGAAGACAGAAGCAAGTGGAGATGTGTAGTTAAGGCCTTATGCTCCACTAGGAACCCAAAGGAACAATAATAATAATATCAGCACAGAGTTGGAACCCACTGAACCCAACATGGCTCAGTAGATCATACTTTGACATTTGAAACGATAGGTGGAAACGCCATCACTTACTGGGAATGAAAGTGCATTCAACTGGTGAATTTCAAATGTATGACAAAGTACGCATCCTGCATTCCACTGCTATTTGCTGAAACGTATTTCCGACCAAGATAAAGTATCCCTTGAACCCTATCGAGTTGCTGGATAACGCGACCTACCATTATTATAACGTTAATAGGAACGCTATTCACCAATTAAGAAGCGAATTTCAAGCAGGTCAAGTTTTTAATTACTGTTTGGATAGCGCGTAGTCGTAAATATTATTGTAATGCTTCTGTGTACCTGCAGAAGTGTTCAGAAGCAGTGGATCGATATGTATTTTGGTGTACACAGTGCAGGGAACGAATGAATGTTCATAATGGTGAGTTACGCACTCAGTTCATTGTTTTCTAGGAGCTTTCTTTTCTTAATCGAAAATACCGCTGACGAATATGCCCTTTATTTACCCCTATTGGATATTGAAGGCTGTAGTGAGACCAACGGCAGTGGAGACCGAAAATTCCTTGGTATCTGCTGTTCAATGATTCAAGTATTGCAGAGATGTGGTGTCTTGGAAGATGAATACTGTTACACAGCTGTTAGGAGGAACTGGTGTGATCTTTCATATCGATGAAACAGTCCTTAGAAAGGAGAAATACAACATCGGTCTCCTTGGGGCAAAGAACGTTTGGGTATTGGGAATTTATGACACCGAACTTCAGAAAGGAATCGTAGAGATTATTCCATACCGCACTGCCGACACTCTTCTGCCAGTTATTCAAAGACTAGTCATCCCTATGACTAATATTCATACTGACGAATGGGCTAGATACAATCGCCTATCAGATTTGAGTTTCATCCACCTTCGAGTGAACCTCCTAACAACAGAAGACAAGGGACAGGCAACAGATCGTTTGTTGAGAAGATCAACAGATATTTAGAGATTTTTATGTACATAATTATATGTTATTGTTAGTAGACAAGCAACGTCTTCTGATTGGTTGTTTTCCTGCTGAAGGTTATTCTGTCATCTCTCTGTGGACGTTTCTCAGAAAATCATGCCAGGTATCTGCGAATCATTTTTCCACACTTTAACTCCCCTGTGGTTGGTTGGTGATTTTCTTAAGGTTAAGCTTTGTTATTGTTTTATTCATGACCCTGATTCGGGAAGTGAACATTCACGTAAACTGTTGTCTGAAATATTGGCTAGCAGCCAGGTCTATCCATAATATTACCTATTTGTTTCGCAGATTGAACTAGGTTGAGTGAGACTTGTACACACTGACACACTTACTGAAGGTTGTGGGTCTAAGTCGATTAGGCGAATATCTCTCTACTGGTTAATTCGATACTAACTCAGAAGGAAACTAACAGACCAGGAATCGGAAAAACCTTGTCGAGTATTAATACTTTATCAGTTTATAACCGTAAATCCTGAAGAGAAATAATTCGAAAAAGAAAGATCATAAAGTCAAAGTATCATGATCTATGTGATGTGAGTGCACGAGTGACCTTGAGCCTACCAATCAGAAAAAATCAATGATTTTTGCACAAAATGTGATGTTTATTTCCAAGAGGAATCCATGGGAAGGCATGAAACAGGGTATTTTTCTCTCTGACATGACTTAAAAATATTTCCCAATTATAATGAGGAGACTCAGTTCTTAAGTTGAACCAGTTTCTATACACATAATCACCAAGTTTACTGAAGATGAGTTTTGGCTCTCATATCCTGTTTTCCAGCCTTCCTCAAAAGCCCTTGACTGAATTGGTACGCTACCAATGTGGTGAGAGCTGGCTGCTAGCCAATATTTTAGACAACAGTTTACGTGAATGATCACTTCCCGAATCAGGGTCATGAGAAAAACAATGACAAAGCTTAACCTTGAGAAAATCACCAGCCAATCACAGCAGAGGTAGAGTGTGGAAATATGACTCGCAGACACACGGCTTGATTTTCTGAGAAACGACCATTAAGAGATGACAGAATAACCTTCAGCAAGAAAACAATCAATCAGAAGACGTTGTTTCTCCGCTAACAATAATTTACTTACAAATCTCTAAATATCTGTTGATATGTCAATAAACGATCTGTTGCCTGACTCTTGTCTTCTGACGTTACAATATTATCAGTTTATCGCCCAAATTCTCGTTTATGTGAGGTCTGTGATCTTGGTGTGTGAGTTCAAACAAATAGTGTTGACCCTAATGCACAAACACACAGCCCACACACACCCGGAGACAAACACATTAGACGATAATTTTGTTTCGTTTGAAGTTGGTGGTCTGCTGAAAACTTGGGTTATCGAAAAACACCTCCATCACTTTGTTGTATATAATTTCTCTTATCCATTTTGTTTAAATCTCGTCATATATGACCTCTAATAGTATGATTTACTTTGGTGAGTATTCACAATATTTATGACATGCTGACTAGCAAGTTTCTGCTAAACATGAAGTGAGATCGCGTTATCCTCGATGGATAGCGGCTTATCCAGCCTAATGTATGAGATGACCGTTAATGAGTGTTGGTGTCCTCGGTTCACAAAGTGTACTCCTGAACTTTAGAAATGGCATTCAGCGAAATATTGGCGTGTATTTCTCGAAGGAGAAAGAGAAGTGATATCATAATGGTTGGTTGGTTTGCACTTCAGGTTAGGTAGAACTGTTTCACACCATCTATTGTCAGTTAATAGTCGATTTGAAGATCCTGGATCAGGACAGAATATCATGCTATAAACTCTGCTGAGAATTCTGTACATTATATAACCTTTGTTCAGAATAAAGCTGCTACTATTATAGCAATATGGTAATAGAATGGCAGACAGCGTCGATCGAGAGGTGATTTGAAAACTACTTTTCTACTACAGGGTGCCGTCAACAATTACACACCTCATCCAAGAGTTGTACGGCAATGCTGCATGCCAAGTAATCCACAACGGCAAACTCAAGGAATACTTCAAAGTGAAGACGGGAGTAAGACGAGGCTGGCTGGCTGGCTGCCTACTATCACCAATGATTTTCCTGACTGAAGTAGACTGGATAATGCGACAGACAGTGGGCAACGATAAGACAGCCATAAAATGGACCCACACAAAAAAAGCTTGGAGGATCTGGATTTCACCGATGTGAAATACGTCTGATTTCTCACAAACTGGAAGATATGCAAGTGAAAAGCAACAAGTCGGCAGAAGAAGTATCAAAGATAGGACTTCTTCCACGTAAACATAGAGAAAACAGGGATGGTGAAGATTCCTGGCCAACATCAACAGCAGCAACAACAGACAACAATCTGCCAGCATAAATGGGATAAATCTGAAAGAAGCAACCTCCTTTAACTACCTACATACCTACCTGGGAAGCAACATTTCAATTACAGGCAGACGGAACTGGAGAGGATATCAAAGCAAGGATAGGGAAAGTAAGGCAAGCTTTCATTATTCTCAAGTCTGTTTGGAGATCAATAGCATTCAGCATAAAAAATAAGATCCCGATTTTTAACTCCAATGTGAAGTCAGTGCTGCTCACAATACGGATCAGAGACTTGGTGCCGCGCCACATCACACCACGAAGGGCACTTCGAACAAACTAGACACCTTCATCAACAGCTGTCGTCGCTCAACACTATTCAAGATCAGATGGCCGATCAGAACAGATCAGCAGTAGGGACGGATCTCTGGCAATAAGCGAACCGACTCAGCAGGGACCAATTGTGCAAGAAATATACAGGAAGGAATGGAGGTGGATTGGCCATACTCTGAGAAAACAAACCATCAAGTGAGTGACATCATACACCAGGCCATTGCTCGAGTGGAACCCGAATGGAAGGTGTCGAGTTGGTCATCAGTGCTGACATGGAGTCTATTTACAACAGTATTAACGAGTTGGTTTAGTGACACCTCAATCACCCTCCT